TTTTTTTTATAATATTAAAAATATCTGTATGACATTACATTCTGCAGTTCTTCCCTGCTGTACCGAATATCTATACTTTTCAAATGATCATATCGAAGTTAGAAATTCAAATATTGTGACAAAATTAATTTTGTAGGGTGCCACAAGTTTGTTAAAATTTCCAAAGTGTGCCGCGACTAAAAAAAGGTTGGGAAACACTGATTTAGAAGACTCATATGGACTACTTTTATGAGCTGCACAACTGTGGTCACTATAAAGTGTTGTACATAAGAGCTACATAAATAATCTTTCCTTTTTTGTGTGTTCCACAGAGAAAAACAACATGAAAGTGAGTAAATAATGGCAGTTCTTATTTGTTGTTGAACTCGAGATGATTTTGAGTCAGTCGGGTGTTTGATATCAGATGTCCTGATGTCCTGACACTGATCAATAGATACAGTCTCTCAGTATCTGTTCGAGACAGAAAACACTCACCCGTTGAGACAGTCGTCAAACCCCTCCGTGGCTCTGAAGCCGATGATGGAGTAAATCACGATGGCTGCGTAAATGGACGTGAGGCCGTTAATTACGGAGATGATGACGGCGTCCTGCTCGCAGTTATTACTGCAGACATACAGAGGAGCATTTCTTACAGTCATTACACTGAACACAAACTCAGCGGCTGTCAAGCAGAAAGGCTGGAGTTACTGACTGGACCGAGTTGTAGCTGGAGAAGGAGATGAGTCCTCCAAACGCCAGAGAGAAGGAGTAAAACACCTGCGCACCCGCATCCAGCCACGTCGTCGGATTCAGCAGCTCGTCCAGCTACACAAACCAGCAGCAAATGCATCGTCATATATCATCATATTATATGCATGCCATCTAGTACGAGTTATGCACTGGTGGACGGCATTATGAAGAGTCTTTCTGAACATGCATGGCTTGCTTTCTTCTCTGCAGAACATCTGAGCTGCATGACGTGAAGTCAGCTGGATGTGTTTGTGTCAGACTTACATCTGGAGTGAAGAGGAACTTGATTCCGCTGACGGAGCCTTTGAGCGTCAGTCCTCTGATCAGGAAGATGGTCAGGACGAGGTACGGAAGCGTGGAGGTCACGTACACAGCCTGACAAGATAGAAACATCACAGACCCTCAACACCTGCCCAGAAATTATATTTAGCATAAAGAAAATGTATCCATTTTTTAAGGGCTGCATGACATTTTTTGCATGACAATAGTCACATTTCTCACAAATATATACACTACTGGTCAAATGTTTGTAATGTTGTCTTCTGCTCATCAAGGCTGCATTTATTTGATCAAAAATACAGAAAAAAAC